CACTCCAAAACCCTCCCCCCCCCCTCCCACCCCCCCAACACCAGTGCCTCATCCCCGAGATCCGGTTCCTGCTGGACGGCGAGGCTGGGCTGTCCACCTACCTGGACCGCCTGCTGCAGCGGCAGGGCTCCGCGGTGGTGTGCGTAGCGGAGGGAGCGGGCCAGCACTTCTTCGACACCCCCCACCGTGACCGCGCCGCCGACCGCGACGTGGGCCCCTGGCTTGCGGCGGCTCTCAAGGAGCGGCACCCGGGCGCCTACGTCAAGTACATCGACCCCTCCTACCTCGTGCGCAGCGTGCCCACCGTCTCCAGCGACCGCACCTACTGCAAGGTGCTGGCGCACAACGCGGTGCACGCCGCCTTTGCCGGCTTCACGGGGACCACGGTGGGCCTGGTGAACACACACTACGTCCTGCTGCCCATCCCCTTTGTCACCCAGGCGCCGCGGCGAGTGGACCCGCAGGGCAACCAGTGGAACCGGCTGCGTGCCGCCAACGGGCAGCCCAACTTCACTTGAGAGCCGGGAGATGAGGGAATGCCAGGCTCGCTGTGTGTGAACAGCTATCACAACCAGAAATAGGAAAAGCGGGCGTTGCCAGGAGAGGAGCAGGGGGGGTGTACAAGTCAGGTTAGGGTCGTGGATACAGGGAGAGGCACTGCGGAGGCCGCCGTGCAGCGGGACAACACAGGCTCCACGCCGCTCAATCGTCGTCCCGCTCCGGGGGTAGGCCGCAGGGGAAGAGCATGTTCTGTACGAAGTTGTACTTGACCCGCCCGATGGACTCGTTCTCCGCGATGGCGTGGTAGGTGGCCAGGGAGTGGTGGCCCACCAGGGAGGCGTAGGTGTCCCGCTTGATGTTCAGATTCCACTCGAATCGGGTCGTGTCCGCGTGGCCCGTGCCCACATATTTGGACTGCAGGTGCTCGAGCTGGCTGTTGATGTTCAGCCGGTCCTGCAGGGTCTGCGCCATGCCCGGCCACAGCTATTGGATCCTTGTCCTATATATTCATCAGATGCGGAGGTTGGCTTGGCATTCGCTCCATAAGGCAGAGGGCGGGTCGCTGCCCCATGCGCGCAAGTTCTGATCGCATGGGAAGGCGCGCCAAACTGCTCGCCCTTGAGGCCTTAATCGCCCCTCCCCCACTCCCCTCGACACACCAGCATGCATGAGGCCAATACACACATGCAATGTCATCACAGTTTATAGGTGCAATTGACCATTTAAAGTCTGAGTGTAAGCTTTCCTCTTGAATCAGGCTGGGACGTGCCCATGCAACCTCGTCTTGATGCGCTAGGCTAATGGTAAACACTAAGCGAAGCTGGCTGGGGTGCCAAGAAAACGCCAGTCTCTAGTCATGAACCCTAAACTCAAACTCCCAAAATATGAGGTAAAGGAATATACTTTGCCAAAAACTATCTAACTGTGGGTGCTGGCTTACAGAGCAGCAGTGAAGATAGGGAGAAGCAGCGACCTGGGCTGTCCCACGGCAGCACTGCAGATTATAGTCCAGGGGGAGCACATCCAAGCACGTGTGAGGCAGGCCTCCAGTATGACCCACACACCGCGCCTCTCCTACCCGCGGCGCACATTGCGCTTGACCTTGACCCTCCTCCGCGCCGACTCGGACTGGGAGTTTGAGCCGAGGGAGAAAGCCCCAGGCATGCCCCCACCAAAGGCGTTGGGCACGGCCTCCCCTCCCATACCGGGCTGAGCTGGCTGCTGCTGCGCTGCTCCAAACCCAAAGGCGGGCTGAGGGTTTGCGCCTGCAGAGACAACGGGCCCAGGTGGGGAAGGTGCTGGGTTCACCGCTCAGATGTGGCAAGGCAGCCGGGGTGCAGGCGCAGCAGCTGCAGAGCTCGAGCCGTGTCGTCGCATGCGCATGCACCGCAGAACAACACCCAACACAGTCCGACAGTGTTCTCTGCTCACCAAAGGCCGGTGCAGACTGAGCAGCCCCAAAGGCGAAGCCTCCCTGCTGTTGGTCGGGCGCCTGGCCAAAAGCCCCCATTGCCTGCTGCGGCTGGGCTCCAAACCCGCCAGGAGCAGCTGCCGGCTGCCCAAAGGGATTGGGCTGCGGCTGCCCAAAGGGATTGGGCTGCGGCTCTAACCCCCCTCCCCGCACTCCCCCTAAACTCCCTTCGGCTCCCCCAGCTCCGCCCCGTACCTACCTTCCCTAGCCACCCCCCCCCAAACCCGCGCAGCCCTTCGCTCGTACTGCACCTCCCCCGCTCCCTTTCTTGCTCCTCCCCGCCGCCGCCGGCCCGGCCGCCCCCGGCGCGCCGCCCGACTTCCCCGACCTGGCCGCCGCGGCCGCCGCGGCACCCGCCCCCTTAGACTACTTGGGCCGCCTCGTCGTCCGGCAAGCCCACCCCGCCCCTGCGCCTTTCGCCTTCCCCGCTCTCGCCGCCGTCCAGCAGGTGCACCACCCCCTCGATTTCCGGGTGCAGGCGGGCGAGGCGCTGGTGCCGCCCCTGCCGCCAAAGCCAAAGGACGTCGCCGGCGAGGCAGCTGCAGAGCTGGGGGCTGCGCCAAAGCCAAAGGACGTCGCCGGCGAGGCGGCTGCAGAGCTGGCACCCCCCGTCGCTCCGAAGACAAAGCCTGCCTGCGGTGCCGCGGCGCTACTAGCGGGCGCCGACGTCCCGCCCGCGCCAAAGGTGAAGGCGGCGGGCAGGGCTGGGCTGCTCGCCCCGCCAGCCGAGAAGGCAAACGTGGTGTGGCCGGGGTCGGCGGCGGGCGCCGAGCTCGTCCGCCCCGCTCCAAAAGTGGGCGTGCTGGACGAGGCAGCGGGCGTTGCGACCGCCCCGAAAGCGAAGCTGCCGGGCGCAGCAACCGAGGCGCCGGCACTCGGCGCGCCAAAGAGAGGCGCCGGCGCCGAGGCAGCGGCTGCAGCTCCTTCCGCGGCAGGGGTGGCTGCAGCTCCGCCAAAACTAAAAGTGGAAGCAGAGGACGGCGCCGTGCCAAAAGTGGTGGATGGCAGGCCGCCCAGCCCCGCACTGGCTGACGCTGCGGCGGGGGCGGCGGCGCCAGCGCCAAAGAGCGCTGCGGAGGTGGCCGGCGCTGACGTCACGGCCTCCGTCGATGCCGCCGCCGAGGCGGCCCCGAAGACGAAAGGCGCCGGCTCGGCTGCGGAGGGTGCGGCGCCGGGCGCCGAGGCTCCAAACAGGCCGAAGGCGGGGGCGCTGCCGGCAGAGGCCCCGAATGGCACGGCCGCCTGCGGCGCGGTGTTGCCGGCGGCGCTGGACGTTGCTGGGGCGCTGCCAAACCCTGTGGGTCCGGTGGATGGGCCGAGCGCTGGGCTCGGGGAGCTAGCAGCTGCCCCAAAGAGGGGAGGCGTTCCCGTGGCCCCAAAAGTGAAGGCTGGGGCCGGGGCGGACGCCGCCGCGGGGGCGGTGTCCTGGCTGGCAGCGGCCGCCGGGGCACCGAACGAGAAGGCCAGAGGTGCAGTCTGGGAGGCTGGCACCTCGCTTGCGGGCGCTGGCGCCGCGCTTGAGGACGCCGAGGCGCCGAAGCTGAAGGCTGCCGGGATGGAAGCAGCCGGGGCGCTGTCTGCTGCAGCGGGCTGCGAGCCGGACGCGAGCCCGGCGCTGCCCACCCCAAAGGAGAAGGCAGGCGCTGAACCCGTGGTCGTCGCTGGGTGGGCGCCGCCCCCCTGGCTCTCCTCAATCTCCTTGGCCACTGCGGCAGTTGCTGCCTCAGACGCCGCCTTGTTTGCCTGGAGTGATGGGTAGAGCATGAGAGCGCAAAGGCGGAAGAGTGACGACGGCACAGCGAGGTTTGGCTTGGCAAGAGGGTCTACGGGTGGAAAATTTCCTTTCATAGCATGTTTCTCAAGCATACACACCCAATCTCAAGACCGCCCCACCTTGAGCAGGGCCTCCCCCCATCCGCCGCTGCCGCTCGTGGCCGGCGCCGCCTCGGCTACCTTGTCGGTCGCAGGCGAGGCGGTCGAGGGCGCAGCCCCAAAGCTGAAAGCCGCCTCCGTCCCCGCCTTGGCCGCCGCCTCCGTGCCGGCCGCTGCCCCAAACTTGAAGGCTGGGACGAGCGAGGTGGAGGACGCGCCGGCCGAGGCAGCCGGCGCCCCGAAGCTGAAGGCGGCGGGCACACCAGAACCGGCCGCCGGCCGCGTCTGCTCCTCGATCGCCTTCTCTGCCGCCTTGGCCGCAGCCTTCGCCGCAGCAGCGTTTGACTCGAGGAAGGCGGCACCCCATCCGCCGCCGCCGTTGGCCGCTGGCGCGGCCGGGGCGGCGGCCGTCGCAGCGCCGTGCTCTGGGCCGCTGGCCCGCTCCTCGGCCTCGTCGGACGAGTCGCCGGGCAGTGGGGAGCGGGCCGCCTCGGCCACCGCCGCCGCCGCAGCCCCGCCCGCACCCATCCCGGGCCTCGGGGGCGAGGGGGGCCTGGCGCTCGAGCCCACGGGAGGAGCGCGGGCCTTGCGCCCCGCATCCCCCACCCCAAACTCGAAAATGGGCACGGTGGACGCTGCGGCCGCCGGCCCGACGGCAGCCACCACGGCCGCCACCTGACGCTCCGTCGCGGCGTCCCGGGACCGCCCAAACTCGTAGACGGGGCCGGCCACGGCACCATTGGCCTGCGGGGGGGCGGTCGTCGCACCCGGTGCCGTCTCGCGACCGCCCGTCCTCGGCTGGTCAGGGGTCTGGCTGGTGCCCTGCTGTGCGTCACGGCCCGTCGCACCAAGCAAGGGCTCAGCGCCGAACTGGGAGCCGGCCTGCGCGGCGGGGGCCTCGGCGCCGGCCTTCCGCCCTGACGCTGGGGTGTCTCTGCCAGAGTCCTGAGGCGTCCACCCCCTCCCCTCCCCACACGGCTTCAGGCTGCTCGACATGGCCGCGGTCGAGGGGTGAGGCTTGGCCGGGGCGCGGGCTCGGGCGCCCGCCTCCAGAACTTCTGGCTGGAAGGAGATGCCGCCAAAGGCCACGCAGGACTGCGGGCGCGCCTCGCCGGCCTCGTCCAGTCCGCCTGGGGTGTGGCACGCAGGGCGGGAGGCGGGTTTCGGTACGATGGAGTGGCAATGGTCCGGCGGGCAGGCTGCCCTC